CCCCCACCCCGGTTCTTCGGTTTTGCAGCACGTTGTCCGTGTACCACCCGCCCTGAGGCGGCCTCCGCCTGCCCGCGGGCTCCGCACCGAGCGGGCGAAGTGCGCGGGCTTAGCGGCTTCGAGCGTTTTTCCGCCTCGACTCGTTGCCCCTGGACGTTCGCGTCCCTGGGCCGCCGTTTCGGAACGTGGGGCGAGAGCCCGCCCGTCCGTCAGGCTCGCGGCGCCGCGGAGCCTCCTGAGCCCGCGCGGCGCTTTCCGCTCGGAGTTTCCCCGCGTTTTCCGACGGTAAAGAGGGGGCGCCTCTTTACCTGCGGGGCGCCCACCCGCCGGTGCCCTGAGCCCGCGGGGCTGACGGAGGGGCCTGGACTCCGCGCGAGGGCGGAACGCGACTCGGGGAGCAGTGTGCCTCCCCCACGTGCCTCCTGGGGGCAGCGACTGGGTCCTTTGAAGAAACAGCAGACGTGCGAGAAGCCCTGAACACCCGGCAGGAAGCGCCTTTGTCACGGACGTTTGCGTTTACGCGGGAAGGCTGCACCTTTCCGGGTGTCCCTCGTCGCCCCGGGCCCGCCGCTCTCAGAGTGAGGGCAGCGGCTCACATCGGGGGGCCAGCCTCTCCCCGTGTGCGGGGCCCGGCCCGGTAGCCTGCCCTGGCTCAGGCTCCCCCCCAAGGCCTCCTCGTTGGTCGAAGGGGATGTTTAAGGTGATGTCTTCCACCGAGGAGGCAGGTTGCTCCGTGCTCCTGGGGGCCTCCCATGTGTGCGGGAGGCGTACCTGTTACCAAACGTTTAATTGGTTTTTCTCCTGCTAACCTGTCTCCTGTCCATTTGATGAGCCCAGCCAGAATAACCAGTTAAAGGTAGAGGAAGGAAGACGTCTCCTCCCCAAAATTGACCCCTCGTTTTTCTGTCTCCGTTGCTGTTAGGTCAACTTTTAGGCTCTGTTTGCATTATTACAAGATTTAGAGAAAAAGAGAAAAGTAGAGAACAGTCATCAGAGACAAAAAATAGGGCAGAAGAGATAAGTCGCGCAGTGTCTATCGAGGTCTTCAACACCAAAATAAAGTTCCAGATAGAACAAAGACAATGGTGCGAGGAAACTTACGAGAAAAAAGTTTTCAGAACTGAAGGGAGACGTTAGTGTCCAAATGTATAAGACCTACTGATTACCAAGCGGGAAAAAGAAAAAAGTCTGCGTGCGGGCATATGAAATTTAAGGCTAGCAAGACAAAAAGGAAGATGCTAAAAGCTTCCAGAGAACAAATACAGGCATGAGAATTCTCCATCAAGGCATGAGAACCAGCTTGGCTGTAGGCTTCTCATCAGTAGAACTGGATGTTAGGAGACAAGAATGACCTCAAAGTCAGGGAGATGACTGTGAACTTGGAATTTTATACCAAGCAAAACTATCGATAAAATATGGGGGTAGAATGAAAAAGGAAAACATAAACTGAGACAGGTTTATCTCTCAAATACTCTTTTTCAGGATGTTACTTGAGAATGTGGGCTGGCAAAACGGGAATTATCCGAGAAATTGGAGCAGGTTGGCTCTGTGAACAATAGAACTAATTCAGAAAAGCAATGAAGGTAAGTCCCAGAAACCAACAACTCTGCAGCAGGTCTGAGAGCCACCCACTCAAATTGAAAGGAGGCCTCAGGGCTGTAAGAACTTCTTGTAAAAAAAAAAAGTCCCTAGGTGTGATTGTATCCTGAAAACGTGGGAAGAACCTATTGTAATGATGCCATAAAACTAGACAATTCAAAATAAAAGTAAAAAGGCTGTTAAAAGTCCAGTAAGCGTGGGGTTATATGACAAAAAGTATTCAGAAAAACAAGCATAGTCATAGAATAGAACTTGCTTGGGCAGAAAACAGTGTTTATGTGCAAATGTAGATGCTGGTTTCCAAATTTACAGTCCAGCTGTAGACAAAGCAAGCATCCCTTACCTATGGCTACGAAACAGGTTGTAAATGTTAACTGTCGAAGAGCCAGAGAGGTGACAAGAAGATACAGTATTCTTATTTGACAAAGTGAAGAGATACTACTGCTTGCAGTTGGAACAAGAAAAAGGAGCTTAAGTATACATGTAATCAGTGGAAAAGCTAACAATAGTGATATAATTGCTTAGGTGTTGCAGGGAGAGAAATTTGGGGTGGTTAATTTAATAAAATTCATATCTATCTTGGCAGAAAGTGAGTATGCAAAATCTAACCTTGATCCACCCAGAACTAGCAGCATAAGTTCATTATTTAAAAGAGGAGAGTCACTGTGAGGTCAGTGCCATTGCCTCTGGGAACAAGATTGGAGGGATTGAGAAAGGATGGGTTGGGGTCTTTTTGTGTTCAGTCTCCTTTCTTTCATTCATTCATTCATTCATTCATTCATTCATTCATATATTCATATAATAAATAGCTATTGTATGCCAAAGATGTGCCAGGCACACATAAAATGAAACAGAAGAGTTGGAAAGACAGGATATTTTCTACCATGACAATGCCAAAATATGAAATTTAATATTAGACTTATTCTTAAAATTTTTTCTTATGCAGTTGATGCCAACCACATGGCTCCCGTCTTCTCTCACCCTTCTTCTGACGTGAACTTTTCAGTCGTCTGGCACCCACACCAGCCTTGTTTGTTGGTGTTGTGGGGAGCTCATGAATGGGGCAGCAAAGGAGAAATGTGGCCTGTCCTGCCTTTCCCCTCCAGCCGGGTGGCAGGGAGGAGTCCCAGGACTCCTGTGGAGGGGATTTTTGGTTTTGGAGTTCCTGGTGATGTTGACACTGCCTTGAGCTGGAGCTGCAAGGATAATGAGCATGCTGAGAGCAGGAATGAGAAAAGCCTCCTCTTTTTCACAGATACAGATTAGCGCCCCTCAACCATGGCTGCATATGAACATCACGGGAGCATCAGTGAACCTCAGTGCCCAGGTATAGACTCCTCCCTCCCTTCCCACCCTCACCACTACTGATTGAATTAAAAAGTGGTGAAGGGACCTCAGCACATGATTCATATCATTAACATACAATTCACATGCAGTTTTTACACAATTGAATTGACAAAACAGATGAGAGCTTCAAAGCACTTTTCGTTCTGATATTCATAATATTGTGACAGACTGAGAAAGAACTACAGTAATTCTCTCTTATTCCCCGGGGAGGTGTTCCAAGACCCCCAGTGGATACCTGAAACTTTGGATATACTATTTTTTCCTATACATGCATACCTGTGATAAAGTGTGATGCCTTTTCCATCCTAACTAAGCACAAGTCATACACACTGTGGCTGTAACTTTCGCAGTTTGAGGTATGACAGCAACATAGCAAGAATTTCTCTTTTCTTCTTCACAATTTCATGGATAGAAGATGTCATTCTTACCATAGATCTTAGCTTAGCATATGTTTTTTTTCTTTCATCTTTTCACTTAGAGGAAGCACTCTGCAGCTTCCCTTTGGCATATTTGAATTGCCAGCATCACTACTCTTATGCTTTGGGGTCATTACGAAGTAAAATAAGGGTGACTTGAACCCAAGCAATGTGATGCCTGATACTTGATCTGATAACCGAGAGGGCTACCAAGTGAACAACGGGTGGGGAGCTAATGCAGTGTGTACACTGTACACAGGGACGATTCACATCCCAGGTGGACAGAGTGGGGCCACGAAAGATTTCATCACACTGCTCAGAACGGCACTCAATTTAAAACTTATGAACTGTTTGTTTCTGGAATTCTGCATTTAATAGGTAACTAAAAGCCACAGAAAACAAAACCGCAGGTAAGGAGGTGACTATTGTATACTCGCTTCTTTGACCTTATAACACAGAGTTATAACGAATAGGAAATGTGTAGTTTATACGTCATTGATCCAAGTTAATTCAGTGGTCAGAAGCCCCCTAGGCATGTACTGGTTTACAATTCTGGTCTCAGCATTTGTTCTCAGTGCCCCCCCATGCTGTTCTCTCCGAACATGGGCACTCTCTCCTCAGGATTCTGCGTTGGCTTTTCCCTCTACCTGTAACACTCTTCCCACCACATCCACATGACTGACTCTCTCACCTGGTCAGAATCTACTCAGACATTGTCTTCTCACTGAGGCTGCCCCGATCACCCTGTTTAAAATCACAGTCTGCCTTCCTTGTCCCAAATCGGTACTCCCAATCTTACCCTGCTCTACTTTTGTTTTTATGGTAGCACTTACTACCTTCTAACATATATAATTTGCCTGGTTTATGTATCTGTTGTGTAATGTTTGTTTCTTCCCACTAGAATGTAAACCAATAAGATAGGGTTCTTTTTTGTTTTGTTCCCTAGTGAAGCTTAAGTGTCTGGAACGGTGCCTAACTCATTGTTAGCACTTAATAAATATTTGTTGAACTTCAGTGGCCTCTTAAATAACATTTAGCTCATTGTCTCCACAAAAGATATGTGTTTAGCCATGTTATATAAATGTGTTTGGAATGTGCTAGTGTTACATTGTTGCATAAAGTCTTTGTGGAGTTATAAATCTCCCCAGGCAAATGTTCTCTCCCAGGAAGTATGTGGCTATCTGGGCTGGGAGTCAGAAGATCTGTTCATTAGATGTTATAATATTTGGCATGATACCTTCACCTCTAAGCCTCACTTAGGCAATCTATAAAAAGCAGAGATTGGTGTAAGCGAATTCCAAATTCTCTTCCTCTTCCATCATACAATATTTTATCAGTCATGAGATGGTGACAGTGTTAATTTTGTGTTTTCTATTTTCTTATGAAAGCAGTTGAAAAGTGCAGCTGTCACCATATTTCAAATTGAGTTTAGTAGAATGGTTAAGAGTTATCCTCTTTGGAATCTGTCTTTGTTTCACTCCTTGCTTAACCACTAGTTACCTGTGTATCAAGTTAATTAATGTCTCTCAGTTTCAGTTTCCTTTTCTGTGAAATGAATATTGTACCAGTATCAGAAGGCATTGTTATAGTTACTGTGAAATTAAATTAGGCAGTGCATGTGAAAACATCTAATACAGTGCATGGTTCATTGTATGGGCCCAACAATTTTTAGCTATTAACTCTATGAAATACTAATCTTAGCAGTACTTTCTGTTGCTTAGGTTTGTGGAAATAAAAGGCCATCCGGATCAGAAAAGCAAAGGCTAATTATTTTGAGCTTGTGATAGAAATGGAGTCGGACACCAATGCTTGCATTTTGGCAGGAACTCAAAGTTAGGCAGACCAGTGGGAAAGCTTTGGTGGAAAAAAGGGAAGTGTTCAGGTGTTTCCTGATTGGAGGCCAGCGGAAGTTAGGGGTAGCTGGTGAGAAGCCAGGCATCCCTGGTTAGGAGTATGTGTTTGGCCTTTTGTGCTTGGCAATAACTCGGAAGCATGGACAAAAAACAGGGAAGCTGTCAGGTTTTTATCAAGTCCTGGACATTTGGGGCTGATTGTCACTGAAGTTGTTTAGCTTTCCAGATTGTCACTAAAGATGGCAGTCTGGCCTCCTGCAAGCCTGACAGCCTGGCTTCCTGGGCTGCGTAGTGCAGGTAAAGGGCTTGTTTCCTTGGCAGGTTGCTGCATCCTGGGGGTCACAGGTCTGCTTTTATATACAGTCTGGCCATGGCCTGTTTGCATATTCGGTCTCTTAGCATCGTAAGAAAACAGTAAAATTTTAATTTCTTTCATGGAATTAGGCTTTTTAATATCAAAACAATGTTAATGTGAGGACAGTTGAATTAACTCCATTAATTTACACTGAGATTGAATTGGGTTGTCGGAAAAGGCATGACGTATTTTTTTCTATGTTTTTCGTTGCAAAAATGCGTCATGACTTTTCCGACAACCCAATAGTTTTAGAGTTTGTTTCAGCTAAGTGTCATTTGGTGCCAGTGTGAGAGTCTAGTTGGATGCTGATAGTACCTAAGCCTTATCAGCAAGTACGAACAATATTGACTGGAGAAAAATGGATTGTTTCAGTTTTCTTAAATAGATCAAATTTGTTTATTGATTTGACTTAAATATTGATACTTTGTTGGTAGAAACCTATCCTATCAGCATTTTGCAAAGTGCATTACCTTCCCTTAATCCATTTTATCCATAAAAAAGGCTTAGAACAAATATAGTTATAGATGTCCTTTCTACCTAATTATCCTCTTCAATGCTTGTTCACCCATTAAATCTGAGAAAATTCTAAGATGTCTGGCAAGGTATTTTTGGAAAGGGATCCATTTCCTACATTTCCCCCCAGAAGCTTCAGAATTTCAATTTATGCCAGGAAATTGGAGAATTTCATAAGGACACTGCCATTCTTTTTTCACATTAAAATGTATTTTTGTTATTTTGCTCCTAACTTTATTCTTTTAGTTTTTTTTTTAAGATTCTTATTGGGGAATTGCGGGGATGGGGACAGTGCTGGGGAATTGGGGGAAGGGGAACAGACAAGTTGCTGTCGTTTTGTTCTTCAGTCTAGGTGTGGAGGACGTTGCTTCACTGGCCCAAGTTGGCACCATCATTGCGCTCTTCCCTGGTGAGGCAGATCAGTCACCAGCTTCTAAACGGGCGCTTACTGCGGCTGCTGGCCGCTCACGCTGGCTGCTGGCTACACACGGTAGCCCATGGCAACCCACTGCCACAGGGGCTGCAGCCTACACCATCGCCAGTGACTCACGGCAGCCCAGCTCCAGGTTGAGCTGTTGTTCAGCATCTTAGCTGTGGACGGCAGTGTCACTGGCCCTCATACGTGGGATCCGAACCAGGGCCCTCTGGCGTCCCAAGCCAGTTCTTAACCATCGCGCCACTCGGCCGGCCCTATTCTTTTAGTTTTAAAAGACTATTTGGCCTCCCCAGATAATAAAAGTCTTTTATGATATAGTAGTTCTTTTGTATGTAAATTCATTATTAATGCTTCTTGACATGGATCTCAGAGTTTTAAGAGGTATTAAACAACTAACAGTAACTTACTTGAAGACTCTCACTCCTATTGAACATCCGCTACTATCTTGCATTTCTTTGCTATAGATTTGAAAGAAAGAACTGTAATGTCAAGTACATCACATTTTAGATTACTTGGAAAGAAAACTTGAAAACCACCATTACATAATTTATTCTTCTTATGTTTTCATGGTAAAAGAAGGGGAATTGTTAACCTGGCATTTTAAAGCATTTAAAAGCATAAAACTATTTTAAAGTAAGACAAATAACCTGCATTTATGTAATAGTGATATTATTAGATATATAGTTTTACTAAAATAACTGTCTTTTTTCTCAATCTTAAAGCAGATTATTATACATCTGCAAAATAATAGCTTGAATCATAAACGTGAATGTATAATTATATCTTAAATTTATTTTAGAATATGTACCAGTCATGACATAAAGTAGTCCTTTGATTGACTAATGGCTCGCTATACATTGCTATAACTCGAATATGTGATAAGGTTGTTCTTTTGAGGGTTTACAGAGGAATGTGCTTATATGTGTGCATTTTTATTTTAATTTATGAGCCGTATTAGAAATCAATTGAAACTCATGCTACATATGTTAGAAATTTAGTATGGCATCCAGAGCTCAGAACCAGAGTTTGGAATCAGTTTCTGTAAAAGCATGAATAAAACACATCTCGCTTTCTTGTGTAATTGGGGGAGGGGGGGGGATTAACTTTCTTTCCTGTTTAAAAACACTGTGTATCCAAGAGATTATCTCCAGAGTTCTAACAAAAGATACTAGAGCTGTAGATAAACTAATTAAGTAGGAGAGATTTGAAATCTCCTCAGTATTTTTTTTCTTATGAGTATATATTTTATTGGTAGAAAGATTCTGTTTGGCTTCTTTATAGATCTGTCTGTGCTTATTTGAAATACCGTCTTGTTGTTTCATTGTGATTTATATTTCTTCCTGTCAAAGTATCTTTCAGACTATATTGTATCCTTTTTCCTGTCCTTGGTTGCAAATTCTTCTTTCT